TATCAGCCGAGGAGATCAAACTTTAATATGGAGCGGCTGGGGTAGATGTCATAAATTGCGCTTCAGTAATATAATGAACTGTATTAATTTACTTAAGTTGATTTCTATGAATCATGTAAACGTTTTGTCCTTTGAAGAGGAACAAAATAGTTTTGATAGTTTTTTTTTTTAATAATCCTATCAATTCTGGAATTAGTAAAATATCCACTTCAACTCATGAAGAATCCGAGTCCATGTAAGAATGTTGTGACTGGGGGAAGGTTATCATTTATGCCTTTAACCTCTGAATGACAAGATTTATATTGTCCTCATCTTATCACAGCATTTCAACTGTTGTGTCCTCCAGCCTTCCTTGGATGTACCTGAGAAACCTACAGGGAATTCTGAACAGAACCACTATGTCACCAAATTCACAAACCAATGCATTTGTCCTGTAGGACAATTTGGTGAGTTCAATCCCTGGGTCAGTCAGTGTGTGTATTTGTACTCAATGAAAATGGGCGAGCAATAACTGAGAAATACTAAATAACTATATTCCTAGACATGAGCAGTGAAATGAGAACAGTCTACACCCCGTAGTTTAAATAAAGAGTTCAGTTTGGAATTTCCTGTTGACACACATCAATACACACTTGAGGAAGGCTGAAATGTGATGATAACAAAGATGAGAACAATAGTCTGAATATAAATAGTATAAATAATTTTAGGTTTAATTGGAAATAACATTAATAAATCATCTTTGGAGTAAAAGAAAGAAAATTTTCTTCCATAATACCTTCTTTTTTTTCCACCACTTCCCTGGTGTAGATGTGTATATACAAAAATGTCTTTTCAGATATGGTCAAATAAACAAAATTTTCAGTATTCAGTAAACCATAGAATTTGTGAGTTTTTTTTTGTTTTGCACTGTTAAAGATTTGAATTGTAAAAGGGTCTTATATAGAGTTCATTTAAATATTGTTATATAGCTGCATGATCTAAGAAACGGCTTTAAACAAAACTATGGTTGAGTTTCAAATAGAGCAGTTGAAATAAAAAAGGTGGATGAGAATTTGGATTTATTTTTTTAAAAAATAATTTCCTGTAATGAAAAATTTTGCTCTGAGATGCTTCCTGCCTAAATTAAAGAACAGGAGGAAATTTCTTGAATATTTAATAAAAAAGCCGGTTAGAGTAACAATTTCTGGTGGGTGGGGGATTTTTCTCAAATTAAACAAAAGAAAAAGAATATAATTTTGGCCCATTTTTTTAATTTTTTTAAAAATTATTTACAATAATGTTCAGCCTGTCCGAGGCCCAAGAGCCACTTGAGGTAGATGGTTACAGAATAAGAGTTAAGAGGCACAGTCTATGAGGATATGTGGAGAAGATAACAGTTAACCCTACACTTGAACAGGTGAAGATTGTAGCAATCAGGGAAGCAACCTCTTGGGAGTTGGTGCCACAAAGTAGCAGTTCGTGAGAAGAAGCTGTTAGAGTGGAACTGACATCTCATCAATGGAATATGAAGGGAATAAGAGTCGGTCCCTATAATGTGTGTGGCATGGCAGGTTGTAGACATGTAGATTAGAAATGGTGGAACTAAGGAATGAAGTTTGAACACTTTCCATGGAAATAGCAAAAGAGCAGCAAGAGGCTTGTGATGCTTTATCTGTGAGAAAGGAGTTGTAGGGTGGAAAGTGAAGACTGTGCAGCTCCTGCCCATCCACTTCAAACTGAAAAGTTGACACTAACTTATCAGGCCCAAGAGCCATTTGAGGTAGAGGGTTACAGAGTAAGAGGCACAGTTTATGTGAATGTGTGGGGATGATAACTGGTTAACCCTAGACTTGAACAGGTTGATTGTCAAGATCAGGGAAGCCTCATCTGAGGAGTTGGTTCCACAAATGAAGACTGTGCAGCTCTGTTCATCTACTTGAAACTGAAAAGTAGACACTTTAATTTTGGATAATGAAATTGACTGGGTAACATTAACTGACTCAGTCCTATAGCCTTGGTTGACAACCAGTCTAAGAGAAGGAAAACTGAATTCAAACTAGCCTAGTGAGGGATGGGCTCCATCTGGCTCAGTCAGTTATATGCTATGCATGATACATGTGTAGACGATCCTGTATCTTTTGATACATGATTGATGAGGCAGATTTTTCCCTGCAGTAGGTTGCCATTTCTTTCTGTGGTAGACCAGTTGCCATCCAAGGCTATAGAACCCGGGCTGTCCTGCTATCTACCCATAGCTTGGGGGAGAAGAGGATTCATACCTTTCCCAAGGAAATGAATGTAATTGATTCAACTGGAATTTGGACTCTCAATCTGAGCCACTATCCATTACTTCACCGTGCCTCCATCTGGCTATCTTTCCCAAGATACAACACTGCTGCTATGGCTGCTGTACATGTGGTACCTCTATGACCCTAATGGGCTATGGAGCTTGTGATTTTGATTAATAAGTGATAGAAAGGGAAGTAACATAAAATGGAAAACGAAAGGCAGTTAAACGCAACTGAAAAGTTTTAAATAAAATTTAATCTTCATCCATTAATTCTAGTCTCTCTTCAAACATCTCTCCCATTACAGACAGTTTCATATGGAATGGTTGTGCAGGGCAAGTCATCATGGCATATGGAGCCTTGAATTCAATTTCAAAATCACTCAAACTTTTATATAAATCAATAATGTTTGGAGTATTGTCAGAAACATAAGGCGTCTCAGCTGGACTCTCTTTATTAGAGTAACCCTCAGGTGGACCCTTTAACACAGTCATATTGATCGTTGAAATTGGAAGAGAGGGTTCACTTTCAGCTATGTTAGCATCATCACTCATTTGCCCTTCTTCAGTTGAAATTGGAGATGACAAATTGATTTGTTTCGAACCATTTAATTTTGAGCTTTCTTTTCCTTCTGTCTCCTCTTCAGAAGGAGAGGGTTTCTCGTCTATTTGACTGGAGGCATTAGCTACCCCTGAAGAGGAGTTCTTGGATTCCTCTTTGAGATCTTTAACCTTTGCAGATTTGGCGTCTCGTTTAGATTTGACACTGGCGGACTGGCTGTCTTCTTCATCTTTTTTCTTTTTCTCCCACTTCTGTCCTCTGTATTGGTCAGCATCATCCGTGGCCCCAAACAAGGACAACAGGTTCAGGTTGTCATGGAGATCAAAAAGTATGTCGTCATCTTTCTTTCTGACAGCACTACAACAGTGGACAGCAGCCAGGTCAATAGGATGCCCTTCGGTATTAAAGATATAACCACCAGCGTCTATCACACATTCGCCATATGTTGTTTGTATTACTTCTCCGTGACTTCCATTATTGTGAATAAAATGATCAGTATCGAAGAGAAGGTACATGTATTTTAGGGTTTCTGCTAAGAAGAAAGATTCCATTCGATTTTCAAGGCGATGATCAGTCACATCTTTTGAAAAAAAAAAAAAAAAAAAAAAAAAAGTGGATATTGTAAACACACTTTTTAATCATTTCACCCCAAGCATATTGTTTAAAATATTTAGATTTCAGCATCAACATTTAGCACTCTGCGTCATTTAGAAATATTACTTATCCCTTTATGTATATGGAATCCCATCAAAATATAGTCTTTTATATATTAGTTCTATATATTTGAAATTGCAGTAGCCTGGCTCTCAATTTCTGTCAAGTTTGTTTTAGGTGTTGCCATAGAAGGATGTGACTACACAGCCAAGAAATTCAAATTCAACTTGCATTGACAGGACTAATATTTTGCTTGGCAAAAATAGTCACCTATAGAGTTCTAATGGTGAAATAACCCATAGGGTTTGATATGTTGCTAAACAAAATCAACCAATCAAAATGAAAGAAATCTTGATGACATTAATCCATAGAATAACCTACAATTTCTTAAAGAAATCAAACTGTATTCCAAAATTTAACTTGGACAAAATTACAACATAAAACACACATATCACCGCCTTTAGTTATCATGTCAACAGAAACATGTATATGTACAAAAGCTGAGTATCATCTACCATGAATACAACTGTGAAAGCAGAATAACACCAAAATGACGAACAATACATTTTACTTGTAACTTAAAGCATGCAATTACATTCAAAATATATTTAGTTGAAGTCATAAAACCGTGTTCAAATTATTTAAGTTTCGGCATTAAATAAGTGATAAAGGTTGACATGCCTCTAAACAAAATCAACCACCCAACATGAAAGAAATCTTTCATGACATTAATCCATATAATATCCAACAATTTCTTAAAGACATCAAACTGTATTGCAAAATATAACTTCAACAAAACTACAACATAAAACACACATATTACCGCCTCTAGTAATTATGTCCACAGAAACATGTTTATGCATGAAAGCTGAGTATCATCTACCATGTATTCAATTGTGAAGGCAGAATAACATATTTTTATTACTTCAAAGCTCCAAAGAAAATTAAATTTTGGCATTAAATGTCCCATAAGGAGTTGATGTGCCATTAAAAGAAATCAATCAATCAACTACAAAGCACCCAAGAAAATTAAATTTTGGCATTAAATGATCCACGAACAAATCAAACATTATGAATTTTACCAATATTTCTTTTATAGTTTTCCAGTCACGACTAATCCAATCGTCAATTGTAAAAAGCACAGATTTGCAAAGGTTAACCCTAATAGGTCAAATGGTCGAGAACCTGTTGTCTACAGATAGGCCTACCAAATAAAAGGCGTGCTAGTTTGGGTCTTATTAAGAGCCTCTTAATTTCTAATTGTGCTGTAGAAAGGTGGCCAAAGTGGTTGCAAAGAAAGAAAGTAAAATAAGAGGCAGATAGAGGGAGAAATAGACCAGCAATATCACTGAGTGGACTGAAAGGTCCTTCACAGAGACTCAGACATTGGCATGCAGCAGAGACATATGGAGGAAGTTGGTCAGGTTAGATGATCAGATGTGCAGTGACACTATGATCCTACTTGGTCATAACACTGATGATGATAATACAAATTTGAAATTTACTTTTTACATAATTTTATATGAACTGGTATAATATAATTACCGTAGCATAACCACATCTGGTTTTGGTGACTTGCTCAATGGATTCAAGCATGTCAATACCAATTTGCAACAAATATGGATCCTTGGTTGCTTGGTACAAATACATAGAACTCTCGATCAGCTCTGAAACAGATTCAAAACAAAAAAATAAAAATGCTTTTCAATATTATGCAGAATTTCCAGCTTAGTCATTGAATAAAATACCCAGGTAATTACTTGAAGAATTCCATGATGCTGGGAAATCACATAGTAGACAGACAGAAGCATATAATGGTGCTGGAAAAATAAATGAATGGACAAAGAAACATGTATAGTAGAAGATAAATTTTCTCATACAATATAACGTCTCTCTTTCAAATGTCAAACTTTATTATTTTCTTGACTCTAAGTTCTGCAATGTTCTCTGTTCTTTTCTGATATTCCTTTTCAATTTTTTAAACACTTCTCTTCAAAGATTTTAATATGTTCAGCTTCCTTCTTTCTTTCATCATTTGTTGGGAAAGACATTTTTTTCTTTACCAAGATTTCTCAAATGCACAGGCTGATAGCCATTAATACACACAGTTTAATAAATAAAAATAAGGCATCTGTTACAAATATGAAGCATCCACTATAATAATGTTTTGGGGAGAAAAAAAAAAAAATTATATATATATATATATATATATATATATATATATATATATATATATATATATATTAACCAGTGTCTTTAAATTAGAATTTATATTTCTTATTTTCAATCTTAAATATTGATCTGGGCTGAACTTCAAATTCAAAACCAACTACAATTCATTTAAACACTTTAACATGTTTATTTACATGTTAATATGTTCCTCTATGAGGCTCTTTATTAGTATTTTATATTATTTTATCACAGCATACTTTATTCTTGATATTGTTAGTTTTAATTTAGTAATATTATTATCAATTACACTCTTGATTTTGGAAAGAATAGAATTGCCTCCCTTGATTTTCCAATGACCCTTTATGTTTTCAAAACCAGTGTCTCTCTAATTTAGAATTTATATTTCTTATTTTCAATCTTAAATGTTAATCTGGGCTTAAATTCTAATTCAAAATTAAACTACAATTCATCTAAATATTTTAAATCCAATAATATTCTACCCCAATAATAATATATCTTGCGTGAACCAGAAAAAAAGTGTCAACCCAAGATAAAATAAAAATAAATATAAGATTCCAGCATTTGAAAATTGCTATATAAAATAAATAAATGAGTTAATGGATTCGTTTTTAATTCAACCTTTTTACATAATAAAAGTATTACCCTTCAGAAATTGCTTTGTTTATGTTACAGAAAAGAAACTGAGTAGAAATGAACATTTGAGTATCTGGGAGGGATTTGCACTTATAAGGCACTATTTGGCCTTGCTTGATCAGCAATGCCTTCCATAGAGAAATCAGTCTAAAGCACATTGGATTTAACGATGGTTTCTCTTGGCACAGCTACAAATCTTCTTGGAGAATGCATATTTTTCTTTCAGAAGAATTCTTGAATATAAGAGCAGTAGACGAAAATAAATATAGTGTTTAATAAATAAACAGAGGGTTTACTCAAATTTGGGTAACCACTAAAATAATCTTTAAAGTGATAAAATCTGTTGGATTAATAAATAAAATAAGTTACTACTTTAGGGTTTGTTCAAAAAGTTTGTTTGCTTTATTCAAAAAGAAAGTGCAGATTTTGAAAATGTAATAAAAACAGATGCTAAGAGACAGGAACACATTCAATATATTATTAGAAAAAAAAAGACCCATTTAAACATAAATGAAAAAAAAAAAAAATGTTCATTTATTTTGATAACTTTGAACCTTTTCCCATCTCATAATGTGTTGGATGCGTTTCTGTCTCTTAGTATTTGTTTATGAATAAGCATAAAAAGGAAAACTCATCTTAGTCAATCAGTTTTATCTCTTGACAGACTTTATCAAGGCAAAAAAAATTAAAAGAAAAACGGTTAAATTCATAACCTCCTGTTATTTAAAAAATATATAATACCTAATTTATCCCATAGTAAAATAATTTACATATTAATTGCATAAAAAAATTTAACATCATTTACTGACTTTTGTTTATTAGACATTAAATTACATCACTTAGCATCCTCCATAACTTACTGAGACTTTTCAGTTAACCTCATGAATATTCATGAACATTACTTAAATTTTAAAATTTTACAAACTAATGACATTTTTATTATTGTTTATAAATACTTGCTGCAAAATAAAATCCTCACATGTGCCTTGATGAAGTCTGTCAGAGGACGAAACCCACTGGGTAAGAGAAGTTTTCCTTTTGTCTTCATTCCTATTGTCCTTTTACAGTTATAGTGTATATCTAAAATTTATATATACATATATAAATTTACATATTTCACATAACATTTATCTCCTCTAAAAAAAAAAAAAATATAATAATAATAAACAGGTTATTCTCAAGTTATGTTAGAAAATTCTCGGATTAGAAAAAAAAAAAAAAATTTTTTTTTTTTTTTCCTTCAATTCTTGGTTTTCCTGTTTGGCTGTGTACCAGGAAATTCTTTGTGGGAAGTTGTTCTGAATTGCAGACACTGTAAGAGAATCATTTTGAAATTCAATTCCATGGCAATCCATTGGATAATGGTCAGAATCACACAGTTGAAAATTGAAATTAATCCCATGATTTAAGTTTTGGATAACTGAGTTCAGTTGGCATCACGAATCAGAGACACTCTGGCTGAAGCTCAGTGACATATTTTGTTGACTAAATGTGCAACTTGACTTGCAATTAAAGAAGGCAAATATTAACCTGACATTGTGTATCTTATTACAAAGAAGCATTATCCAGTATATGATTGAAAAACTGAATTATTCTACAGAGACTTAAATTCTAATGTCATGTTTATTATTGGAGATTGTTAATTGCAGTCTAAAAATTAAATGCTAAAAATAAGGCCTCACCAAAATACTTTTAAAAAGGTCTGAGTTTTTAAAGTTTTAAAAGCACTGGTGTAGGGACTGATATAAAGCTAAGAACTGACATGAGGAAAATGTACTGAAGGAGATATATATTCAAGCATGTTTCGTTGAATAATCTGAACATATGTGTATTTATTTTTTATTTTAATCCTCTCAAATTCACAGACCAATTTCTTAATGTTGTTATTAAACTCATTAAGGAAGGTGCCGTAGTTTTTTCATTTCTTTTATTTTCCCAAGTACTTTCAATTTCATCCAACATCATCTTCAAGGGTGAATTGCTAAGACAAAAAATTAATGTAATTGATAGTTGTGAATTTTTTGGGAAATGTGCATGAAACACATTCTGTTAGCTGAATACGTATGAATGCACTCTGTTAAAGTTAAGGGAAGTAACCTAATTTATATAATTTTTTATTATTAATGTTTTAAAATACTCAACCTGCAATTTTCTTTTTAAATTTGTTTACAATTTGAATATTCCAAAACATTGCTTTGATAGGTTTTTTAAAACATTGTTGCTATATTCATAATTAATCTTATTTAGTGTTGGTTGTATTTTTCCTTATATAGAGGGCTTTAAAATGTGTTCTTGCATTGTTTTGAATACTAGTAAGAGTGTTTATTTATTTATTGTGGCTAGAATTTGAGTGAGCAAAAAAATTTAAGAATGCTGGAAAAATTAAATAAAAAATTTATATATAAATGTGTGTGTGTGTGTGGGGGAGTAGAATGATTAAAATGGTTGATTTACAACCATGGGAATGAGGTTTAAATCTCAGCGTGGTTGACTCTCAAGAGGGTAACTGTGTAACGGTGTGGTAGGGCAATCCCAGCATGCTGCACCTTTGGAAAGTACCTGAAAACTATAGCACAGGTTAACCTAAATCTTGTGAGTGAAATTGGGTAGGCAGAACTATTTGGACTGTTTAATAGTTGTTCTTGCACAAAGTCACAAGTCACTGTGACCGAGTGTTTGAGAGTACTGGCCTTGTTCAAATTGTTGATCATGCCAGATGATGCTCTCTCTCCCAGAAACTATGATTAAAGTCTGCTCAGCATAGTTGCAGTATAAACCACAGGTGGGCTCTGTGGTTGTTGAATAAACATAACTGTGCCTGAGCAGGCGTCTGCAACAGGGATTGGCTAGCTGCTCTAACAGACAAGTGTACTCACCCCCCCTCAAAGCAATGACAGTGTAAGGAAAATGTTGTCTACATAGTCCATATTTCATTCATCCAAACATGGCTTATCACATATAGTAGTGCTAAGATTGCCTTACGCACTGCCCAACTATGCTCACATCCAATGTTTTGCCTCCACAAACGTTCAGCAAGAATCAATTTTCTTGGAAGAACTTAATGAGACACCTTTACTTACATAATAATAATAATAATAATAATAAAAAAAAAAAAAAAAAAAAAAGTAGATGAAATCTTTTAGCCTTACCAGGTCGAAGTGGATAACCCTCTCGGTTAGTATGCACGTCAGCTTTTGGAATGTTGTAGAATTCTGGAACAAATCCAAACTGCTTCCAGACTTGGTGAAAATTGTGGATGGTTTTCATTGCCTTCTCAGTTTCACCAAGCAAACTCTTAAAATTTCAACAAAGACAAAATTTGTCAGTCAAAGAGTGAGTTCCTGGTTTTGCATGTCAAAATGTGTGTGTTTATATATTTGCATATCACAGCTCAACTATTGAAATTTTATTTCAATATAAAAAAAAAATAAATAAATAAAAAATTAGTCATTAGGCACACAAGAAAAGAAAAACTGTTGGTGTGAAATTGAACAGAAAGAATTTGTTAGATTTAAATTGAGAAGAAAAAGATGAGTATCATGACTAGTTCAAAATATTCTTTTGAGTGCCTAATGAAAATTAAGCTGGATAAAGAGCTTCAGTTGAAGATTAGGACTTACAAATGATAACAAAAAATTTAAAAAAAACATAGGTTGTCCTTTGTAAACTTTATTGGAAATTAGTTTTTATTTCTGATCTAGACAAGTTAACAGGAACAAAATTTAAAAATGACATGAACATTGCAATAATAAAGATGTAAAGAAAAACTATTCAGAAATAATATAAATAATAATGATATTTAAAAATAGGAATATTGAAATAATGATAGTAATAATAAAAAGATGATACAGACAAGGTGAATATGTATATATATATATATATATATATATAGATAGATAGAGAGAGAGAGAGAAAAAACGTATAGTGGGCAAAAAGTGCAGAAAAACAGTGATAACCCTCACCTGAATCCCAGGCCAATAGGAATCAAGAGAAGTAAAAACAGGCAACGTAATGGAACCTTTCTTCATGTTTCCCCACATATACCAATCATCTCTTTTCAAGTACTTTTCAACAGATTCTTTACATTCTAGAAAAAAAAAAAATTAACCCATCAAACATTTGAACAAATTAACATACACCAAATAATTTCTTAATTTGTTCAAATAGAATATCATTGTTATTTATTTTTCGGAAAATAACAGGCTAATGTTAGATATTAAAATAATTCCGTCTTCAAAATAGAGACATTTTAATAATCAATACACGCCACAGAATTCTCTCCCTTTATGCCTCATAAAATATTCATTGCTGCAAATCCCGTTAGCTGCAAGCAGTTTAAGTTAAAAAAAAAAAAAAAAAAATAAAATTATGCAATTACAGCCTAGTTTCTATTTGTGGCGTCTGTCTTCAGGAGGGTACATGTAAAATTTACCACCCATCAAAAATTTTGCTGACTTACAATGTTACATGTGTCTTTAGTCTCATAGCAACCTTCAGGTAAGTAAAACACTTTACGATTTTACTTTATTTTGGAGTTCCGTCTGTATTGTTCTTTTAAAATGGCATGTCTTTCAAGATATAGGCAATCAGAGCTCTTCACAGTTTCCTCTTCATTAATATTTGAATTACCTTTATAAATATACAACAGGGTCCCCCCTCTCAATCTTTCACTGACCGGAAAAAAAAAAAAAAAAAAAAAAAATCACTGTACGCCTCGATTCTCATTCATGTCAATGTGTACCAAAACTTGGAAAGACCCATTGTATGTTCACAAGGGATATGAAAGCTGACAGTATCATCATGGTTTTATGTTGGTTGTTCTTGGAGTGGATCCTCAACCAATCTCTTTATATTGGCATTAGGCACCTATTGACCCTATTCAGGCTATTTAAAGCCAGAAATATCTTTAGATTTTAAGAATTTATTTTAGTGGGGCAGATAATAATGGTTTAGTGATAAAAGTATTACTAATTAACCCATACCTGAGGGGAGAAGAGGTGGATCCATACCTTTTCTCAAGGATAATTGCACATAAGTGAATATAACGAATCCAATGGGAATTAGAACTCAGCTCTTTGATTAACAATTTCAAGCTATTATACTTTAATTCCAAGCTTATGGCACTGGGTATTCGAAAATAGTCACCCATTTATGTACTGATCAGGCTTGATGTTGCTTAAACTTCAGTGATTTTACAGGAACTGGTGTTTCAACATGTGGCCCAATCCCCTGGTACCTGGGGTAGAAACAGTAGTGTTGTGCACCCAGAATTTTTCTTTTTTTTTCAGTAACAGCAACTTTTTTTTTTATATGTAAATAATGTCATTTTTTCTTCAGATATTAGGTTGTTTATTACAAAATCTGTTAAAAAACATTTTTTTTCTCTGTTATAAAGTTTCATTTTTTTCTTTTCAATAATCTTAGGCAACATAGAGCATCTGTGGTGGTAGTTCAATAATAAATGAAAACATATTAAAGACCAAGGATAATTTAGACAATTGCATTAAAATAGGAACTTGCCATTAAACATTGATAATAATTCTGGAGAATTGAACATAATGGACCCTTTGACTAAATACTCCAAATAAGAGTCAACGCCGCCTCCAATGCCCATATCCAGGGCTATCCATTTGCCTGTTCGGACATCTACATGATTTCCAAACTGAAATAAAACAAGGAATAGCATTGTTATTGCTAATAGCATTAATTCACAGATTAATTTTGTATAATTGTTTAATATACAGAACTATATCAGACTAGGCAAAGTACCTGTCCACATAGGGTTGGTTAGTAGATTTTTTTTAGTGGCATATCAACCTCTACAGGCTATTTAATGATGAAATCTAAATATTTTGAACACAACTGTATACAAACAACTACAGATAAAATTGTATTATTGGTAATTTTACTATAAATATCCATTTTTATACATTTATTGGGTTTTATTTCTGTTTGGGGGTTCACTATTTGCCCATAGCTGAGATCCTAATAAGTTCTACCCCCCCCCCTTCAGTGTGGACCTGGAAACAACAGCAATTAACAGGTGGTTTCACATTACTCAAAATCTCCAATTTCACAATCAGAGGCCTTGTTGCCAGATGTAGTTTGTCATACCCAGAACCTCCATTCAGAATAAGAGTTCAAGACTTGGATTCTTAGCTGGTTATAATGACAATAAAATAAAATAATCCCCCATAACATCTCATCCCAAGATGAAACAATTGAAATGTAAAAACTAAAGAAATCAGTAATTTTATAATTTCTTTTGTCAAAAAAAAAAAAAAAAAAAAAAAAAAAAAAAAATTTGTTTCCTTCTGAATTTCTGGGATGAGGAGTTATTGTCAATATATGTGCCCTTTGCTAAAGCTTTCCACCAGGCCAATGATCACTCTACGGTGCATTGTTGATCTCATCGGGAAAGGGTGCAATGCATGCTCACAAGGTAGCACAATGAAAGATAAATGCTACATTGAGAAATATGAACACAAACCGTGTTTTGTATATTATATATAGGTGTTTTGGGGTCAAGTCAATGGATTCAACCAAAGCATTGTGAGTTTAATACCTTGTTACAGCTGAGGTGATTCACACAAATAAAATTGGAGTTGAGTTAAAGGGATATAACCGATACTGAGACATTCAGTAGATGCGTGGTACTTGGAACTAGAACACTCTACTCCTGGTGGACAAAATAAAGGGTTCAGTTCGAAATTCCAATCACCTGAAGAAGACTGGAGCTAACAATAGCTGAAATGCTGGGAATATGGCAACAAAGATGAGGACAACAGTTTGAACAATGTAAATAGTGTGTGTATATATATATATATATATATAAAAATGGAAACCAAAATAGATTTCATTTGTTCCTATTAGGTTCCAATAAAGAAATTCTTTGGCAATACTAATGGTAGTGCTTATAAGGAAACATTTAGCATTCATTGCCCGAGCAGCCAGTGCTATTTGAGTTACTTTTCTTCTCTCCTTGGTCATTGAGCTTGGAGCAAAATGTAATAACTCTTTTCATCTCTAATCGTAATGATAATATCAACTGTTTCTTTATAAGGAAACATTTGACATTCATTAACTGAACAGCCAGTGCTTCTCTTATTTGAAATTTATAAAATCTTTCTATTAAAACAATTTTTAAGGAAAATAGATTCCCTCAAGTCCACTGTTATCATTCTTTACATTATCGATGGGGGGAGAGGGGGTTGGCTAACCTTTTGTTTGAGGTAGTGTGGAATGTCAACATCTTGATTATATCATTATTTTCTCGTTGAGTGACATGTGATATCCATTTTATTTGTTGCTGTAAGTTCTCCATTGATGTGATTTCTGTTATTTGGTACAGTTCTTTGTGATTCTGTAGCACAAATCCAGGAGATTCAAAGAAGTATGGTCCTCAGTAATACCTTCAGGATTCCCTTGTTATAACAGCTAACAATTTTTCCATCTAAATTACTAGCTGTATAGTTAGAGGCAACTGGACGTCTAACCACACTGATGAGCTGTGATACAGCGAAACAGTCTGTCTGTAGATGACAATATAATATACTCCTGAAAAATTTATTTCAGTTGAGCTTTCTGGGGAGGAAGTGTGAGTTTGTAAACAGTGACTATTACAGCTAATAATGCAAGACTCTTCGGTAAAGTGAATCAAGTTCTCTCAGTCACTGTGTGCTTATCTAAAAATAAATATGCTTAAATTCACCTTCATCCCTTTGTGTGTGCCAGTGGCTTAGGGGTGGAATCTCTGACTGGCCAATTCAGCTGGTTTCGTTCCTAGCTAGACGTCTAGTCACACTGATGAGCTGTGATACAGTGAAACTGTCTGTGGATGACAAATATATATATATATATATATATATATATATATATATATATATATATATATATATATATTAGTAGACACTAAGGGAAACACCAACTGGCAACAGTTTTCCATGTGTTGCATTTTGGCTATTTATATATGTTGACCAATAGTGCATTATGGGTAGTAAGGTCTATTGCATTATCCTAAAGGTTATATATTTTTAGTAAAATTAATAAGTATCATTAAAAAGGATAGACATTTTATGTCTATTGAATTTATCCATCGTTTTTTAAAAACTACAAATAACTTTCCTCAAATAAAGTGGTATGAAAACTTTGACTAGAATTCCAAATAAATTTGATCAGTTACAAAATTTTGTATTCCCATAAAAAAAAATGAATACTAAGAGAATAGGTAAAAAGAAAAAGAAATAAAAATTCTATAGACTTACCAAATTTATATCTGATCGACATTTCCAAAGTGTTGACAGAGCTCTCATGGCAGCCTTTTCAAAGATCGGATCACCTGTTAATCTACTCAGGGTTCCAAACTCTACGATGAATGTCCCTACTCCAGCTGTACATGTAACTGTGGTCTCCCCACTAGGCACTCCATGCCGTAGATTTATGGTACCATATGGCATTCCTGTTGGGGTGTCAAATGCTGAAAGGGATGGGAAGGAGAAAAAAAAAATCTCTAAAAGATTTTGAAAAATTGTATATTAGCATTACTGGCGATGAATTAATCTATTATAAAAGACAAAAACAGACACTCCAAGTTGGTAACTAACAAATGAAATAATTTTGCTCATTAAACATGTTGCTTTGAGCAAGATGCTTACCAATAAATGCTTAAATAGAATAAAAGTTTCTTAGTTGTTCTGGTGTAACAAATTACCAACTCAAACTGAAGCAAAATGAACAGTGTTTCACATGCATGTGGCCATTTACAATGTGAAAAGTGCACATGCATGAGTTGAATCCTCAGCAGGTATTTAAGAGACACTCAATAAGCTACTGACAGGTGTCAAGAAAAGACAGCAATTTGTCATTGGTGGACTATTCATTCCACAATTGGGCGGTATCCTGGAAATGGTCGGACAATCAACCGCCAGAGAAGCTGTACAACAGTGTGCCGGAGTATAAAATTCCCCTGTGAGCTCGTGCGGAATACGACAAGAAGTTGCGAGCCTGGATTAATAATGGATGGTTGGTTCCTTATCCAGAGAAGGAATTGGGGCCCCCGAAGGGCCTGATCCCGCTAATGGTGGTTCTCCAGCACAGCAAACAAAAGGTGAGGCCGGTGCTTGACTTTCGGGAACTGAATGAGCACGTGGACCCTTTTACAGTCCACGTGGACGTGTGTACCGAGAAGCTAAGGGAATGGCGACAGGCGGGATCAAATGTATCTGTGCTGGATCTTCGCAAGGCATACCTTCAAGTGCGTGTGCACCAATCACTGTGGCCCTATCAAACTGTGCTTATCAAGGAGCAAAGGTATTGCCTGACCCACATGGGGTTTGGACTCAATGTGGTGCCATCGATTATGCAGATGATTGTTGACACCATTCTGACGAAGAATGAGCGCATACAGCGGGCAATAACTGCATATATTGATGACGTGTACGTGAACGAGGGAGTCATATCTGCGGCGCACGTGAAGGAGCATCTCTACAACTTTGGCCTCCTCAGCAAGGAACCGGAGAGGCTACAGGATGGTGCACAGGTGCTTGGTTTGCAGGACTCGGGAGAGGATGACGTTCTGTATTGGAAACGGGGAAACAAAGTCCCAGACATGCCCCCCGCTGTCACGCGATGAAGCATATTTTCCTTGTGCGGCAAGTTAGTTGGGCACCTTCCTGTAGGTGGCTGGCTGTGTGTTGCGGTGGCATTCATCAAGCAGAGAGCATCTGACATCACCACTGGATGGGATGACGAAGTTCATGACGCCACTCTCAACACCATGATGAGGAAGGTCCTCGCTAGAATACGCAAGGAAGACCCAGCGCGGGGCAGATGGTGCGTTGACAGCCAAGACCTCGGTGTGTGGGTTGGCGCAAGCTCTTGCAACCGGGTGTCGATAGTTCACGATGGAGCCGTGGTGGAAGATGCATAAACCTAGCGGAGCTTGATGCTGTCATCAAGGGGATCAACTTGGCGATCCTCTGGAAGTCGACCACTCTGCGTCTGTTCACTGATTCCGCTTGTGTTTATAAGTGGATCTCGGATACCCTTACCGGGAGGGACAGGGTGCAGACTAAAGCCATCAGCGAGATGCTTATCTGACGATGGCTCGACACAATCGTGAAGCTAGTGCAAGAGTACGCACTGACAATGGAGGTGTCCCTGGTCAAATCTAGCTTCAACAAGGCAGATTGTTTAACGAGGGTGCCCCAAAGGTGGCTTGACGGCGCTAAGAAAGCTATTGAGCCCGTGCAACCTACCTGTGCTGCGTCCGTGAGTCCCGTTCGATTTAATCGAATCAAAGAAGTCCACCAACAAAGCGGGCACCCTGGAGTCAAGCAGACACTGTATTTCGCCAAGTTGGTTGACCCACGAGTACAAAAGACAGACGTCAGGAGAGTGGTCAGAAGCTGCGTGGCGGGCCAGTCTATAGACCCAGCACCCTTTCGCTGGAAGAAAGGGCAGCTGAGCGTGAGGAGACACTGGAGCCGGCTGGCGATAGACGTTACTCACCACAACGGCGAGGATTTCCTGACGCTCATTGATTGCGGTCCATCCAAGTTTGCGATATGGCGGCTGCTGCGTCGGCAAGATGCAGCCACTATCATCCGTCAGTTAAACAGTATCTTCCTTGAACGTGGCCCCCCAACAGAGATATTAACCGACAATGGCACCGCATTCACCAGTGAGCAGTTTCGAGGTTTTGGATGGCGGGGAGTGCACCTACGGTTCCGTGCGCCCACGTGCCAGTGGAAATGGAATCATCGAGCGGAACCACAAGACCATCATAGCCAGGACAGGCTGCGCGGTGTCTGAGGCGGTCTACTTGTACAATGTCACCCTCTACGGCGCCAGCCGACACATTGCATAGTTACCACGTCAGAGTGAAGGGCATAGAGACCAACCCGCTGACGGAACTGAAAGTAACCGGAGAGAGGCTGAAGAAAGGCAATGTTGTCTGGATTAAAAACCCACGCAGCAAGTGCACGACGAAATACGGAACCGGACGCGTTAATGAGGTGATCAGCCCACAGGCGGTATGGGTCGACGGTGTGTCCAGCGGCTGGTGACGCAGTTGCAACCACCGCTGGACGAGGAGAGCGAATCGGAATCTGAGACCAGTGAGGCATCACTCTGGTTCACGCCAGCTCCATCAGGCAGTAACTCAGATATCAGTAGCCTTCCAAGAGATGCGGTGTTTTTCAACCCTCAGACCACGGACAGAAGCACAAGCGACGATGAGGCTCGCAGCATCCCTCTTCGAAGAAGCACCTGGTGAAAGCGATCGCCGCCTCCCTATCAACTCTGTGATCATGAGATCAGTGGGGAGTGTGGGGAAAATAGAAATGGCTTACCTCCCAAACGCCCTCGCGTCTGTCTGGCCTGTGGGTTGAGAAAAGAAAGAAAGGATCCACGATGGCGTCCATGATTTTTTAATATTCACGGTCTCGTGCAGTCACACAAAGTCGCGTTACACGCATGTTAATGAGGTGTGTCTGGGCTCCATAAAAGCAGGTAGCTTGGAGAAATTGGCAGAAGGGCATTACACTCGTTGCATCGTGTCAGACATTTTCAGACGGAAAGAGTTGCGTCCCTTACACTGTTGAATTTGACTCCTTTGCTACAAAAACTAAGTATACTTTTCTTTCTTTTTAATCATTTCACCCCAAGCAAGCCAACAAAGCCACTTAGATGCAGGAGGCTACTGAGTGTGAATGAACATAAGACATTAAGCAGTGAGATTGATAAAAGAACAGAAATTAGTAAGACAGAAGATAATGATTGACATTGCATTTAAATTTTTGTAGATCAAACTTGACTGGAAAGCAAGAAACTGGAAGAGTTCCACAAGCAAGAAGTGTGAGAAAAGAAACTGTTAGCATAGAACTTACAGTTACATCTCACCATTTTAACTGTAAAATGACGAGATCTAGTACTGTGATTAAATTCACAGAGTCTAGGTACCATAGAGGAAAGTTCATCAGAACAATTACCATGAACGTATTTATAGAAAAGGTTCAGGAAAGCTATGTTACAGTGGTGGGGAAGTGACTGAAGTCAAGATGCCAAGGCAGAAACAATGACATTGCAGATTCATACAAAAAAAACATAAAAATAAAACTTACCAGGAAGTAATCTACGTGCCATGTTTTCAGCTAAATCCAAAAGGGGGCCTGAACATGGCCAACCAGGATCAGTATCCATCCCAGCTTTTTTTGAAAAAAGGTGTGCAGACAACAGGCCAGCCACAACTGGAAGATTTTGTAATAAGAAACAGAAACATTAATTCCAAGTTATTTCTGCTAAATGAAAAATAAAGATAAAAGACATGACATTTTTGGTGATTTAAAAAAAAAAAAAAAAATTGCCTACCTCGAATGTTAGTCTCGAACACAGAAGCATTGATATCAATATCAAAGTTGGCTTTGTCTAAAATCAATTTGGCCACACGTCGAAATTCCGTATAATTACCAATGACAGCCAACATGTCCAAAGAATCAATCAGGGTCAAAGAAAATCTAGGAAATAAAAATGGAAGACAATGAAACATTCGAGAAAGAGTGATTGGAAGAAAACCGACAAAGTTTAACATTCATATTCCCCCCATGAAAATGGCGTGTTAGAAAGTATAGTTTTTCCTTTGACACCACTGTTACTGCAGAGTCCCCCAGCATTTTTTTTATTGTTTTAAAAGCTATTTTTAGAATTCTAATAAAACCCAAACATGAAACTATCTGTTAACTGTCAACTCAATTCAAAGGTAAAGTTTGTATTGATCAACTTTCATATAATGAAAGCCTGCCTAAATGTACAAGCATCTCATGATACAGCTGATGTATGGAGGACCAAAAATGATAAAAAAAGTGATATTATTTACAAAAGGTAAAACTTAATTTCTAGCATTAAAACAGCATTGTATAACAGGCAAGATTCTTGTCTCAGAAGAAAACATTCTTTTGGCAAACAGCATCAAATCAATGTACTTCCTTCCAGTATTTTTTGTAAATGATTACAGAGCAGAAGTGTTCGTAAAATTCCCCTAAGTTTTAAATGAGTGAAGGAGATTTCTGACTATTGGTTAACTGCCTCTTAATTACTCTCAAACTTTGTCAAGCACACAGACGTTCTCTGAGTAAGTCCAAGAGGATATTTTCAATACTCTTCTTTGTGATGGTTAGTCAAGTAAACTTCTTGACCATCTGCGAACTCCATTTTTAGCAGATAAAAAAAATGAGAGAGAGAGAGAGAGAACAGGAGAGAAAAAGAAAAAAAAGCAGAAGGAAAGAAAGAAAAAAAAACCCAGAAGGAATGAAAAAAAAACAAAAAACAAAAAACAAAACAAGCATGTGCATTTTGAAATACAGCACATGCCACTATCTGCTTCTTCACCAAGATGCCAGTCATTAAACCTCACAAAAGAGGCATATGTTTATGTCAATGCACAGCTTGCATGTTGTGCACAACTCACACCAAAAATATCAGGAGAATCTAAGAACATGCACACTTCTTAGGTATTGTTAGAATCAATCAAGAATTTTATGAAGACTCTTTCAGAATTAAACATTTTGTTTTGGAAAAATGTAGTTTAATTATGAGATACCTTTTAAAATTATTAAGAAAATATTCATAATCATCCTTTTTTTCCTTCATAACTTTTCATAGATACCTTTTCTTTATTATCTGTGAATTACCATAAATTCTTGAGAAAGAAACTGGAGTGACTTTGAATTAAGAATAATCCTCCTCCTAGACTCAGTGCTACCAAGGCCAGAGAGTCCAGTCTGCCCAGTTATTTAACTTGTAATGCCTTTATGAAGTGCATTAGTGAAACAATGAATGCAACCTCACTGATCTCAGTTGAGATATAACAGTATATAACTGGCACTGCAGTTAATTACAAACACCATAATCTTTTCCATTGCTGTATAATATATACTTTGCCAGGGCTATATATGGTTTTAACTGCAGAGTTGTTCTCCTCAAGATAGTTTGACAACTAGGGCTAGAGAGCCCAGTCTACTTCACTGTTTAACCCATAGCCAGGGGAGAAGAGAGTCATAACTGTCCAAAGGGTATTTGTGCAAAAGTGAATGTAACAAACTTGATTGGAATTTGAACTAGTCTCACCAATTTCTCATTATGAGCTGCTAACCATTGTCCCAGCTGCATTTCCACCATACAACAGACAAGACTAGAATTTGAACTTGGCTTGATGGTTTACCTTTCTGTGCCAATATCTATTATGCTACATGCCCATCCATCATGATATTAAAGAAAAAAAAAAAAAATTCTTACTTGCCCCAAGTGTCATGGCCATCACAGGTGAGAGGTCGTAGTTCATCAAGAGGATAGGCATATTTCATATAACCTTCGTATGCATGGTTGAACATATCTACTACCCGTTTCCTGCAAAAGAAAAGGTGCATTTGATTGTGTTCATTTCATATGTCTTCTTTTCTAATGAATTTAATGAGTTTGGCATATGACTTAATAATAATGGAGTGCTTGGAAAGAGAGAGAAAAATATGCTAGTCTTCTCCACTCTCCAATGTCCACCATAGGAATTTGTATTCTGTGTTATTACTAATATCATAACATGATAAAAGGAAGAACTAGGATAATTTGAAGGAATGAATTTCCAAAATAAGTTCTACATAAAAACATTTTATAGCACATACATATTAAACAAATTGTTCCATATAAAGAAATTAAAACAAAAAAGGCAAGCAATATTTGAAGGGATGAATATACTAATTTTACTGTGACATTGTTAAAACATCATAGGTGGCTCAAACTGGTTTTTAGTGACTACAGTTGTCATTCCATAGTGGAATGTCTTGGTTGTATTGCTATGTTATTCTCCATGGCTGTTTTCAGGCCAATATACCAAAGTTGCACTGTCACTTACTGAAAGTCAAATCAGCCATCTTTTCACCATGAGAAAAATTTTTCTTGTAATAATAAATAGCACGTGGTCTTCATTGGCAACTTTTATTGTCCCAAACAGGGAAGTTTTACCAACTACTTGTCAGTGATAGAGAGAGTGTGGGGAGTGAGAAATTTTGTTAAAAAAAAAAAAAAACTCACCTTTTTGCTAGTTGCTGATTCATCAGTTCATGAGCCAATTAAAAGGCACCACCACATTTTTTTTTTTTCAGAATCTGTGACTGCCAACTGACCCTATCAAATGTCATTTTTTTCTCTCCTTAAACTTGTACTCTTCCATTTTGCATACAAAATATTATGTTACTTGTAACATTCTGTTCAATGCCCAAAAATGTCAACATAAAAGTTGACCAAATTGTGCTTCTCTCTCTCTCTAAGAAAAATCAATGATAAAGTGGGAAAAACTTTTTGCGTGACATGTTTCCTCATTTAGGACTTCATCAGGCTAAAGCAGCATTTCTGAACTTGTTTCCCCCCCCCCCCGGAACACTAATTCACCCTGAAAAGTAGCTAGATATGGCCCAAGTTAACAGGAGAGTAATTTATGAATTATTTTTATATTTAACAAAAAAAAATCTTTATTTTTACAAAAGCTAGAAACATCAAGTATATGGCTTCCATGTTTAAGACAAGCCTTTGTCATTTGATAAACTGGATGCTAAATTCCTTAGGAGTGGATAGTTTCCCTTTTGCTTTCCTAAAGAGATTTAGAAATCTGTCAGTATCAGCCTCCCTTTAAAAAAAAAAAAAAAAAAAAAAAAAAAAGCAGGTTTTTCATAAATTCCTTTAAATGAAAACTGTATATAATGTCTGAAAAATAAATGCTTATTTCAGAAGACCTCTTTTATTTAAAGTGCGTCCCAGAGTTTTTGTTATTCTACAAGTATACCCTGAAGTAAAATAGTCTGAGAGACACTGGACTAAAGTGATTTTTACATTGATGTAACTACACAAGCGCATGAAGTGGATACTGAAATTTTAATCTTTTAAATTTTATTTATTCTTTTATTTTTTTAAAATACCTGTTTGGGTATAGCCAATTTCATTTAGTTTCTTTTTCTTACTTTAAGTATCTCAAATTGTGATAATAGAAGATCTATCCAGAAAGATGAAATGTTGTAACAGCCTGGACACAAATTTACTGTAGATGATCTAGCGATTAAAGCACTTTCTATACTTCCAGCTTAGTAACTTGTTTTCTCTTAATTAAAGTAGCATTATTTAAATCAGAATCATGGCGGTCAGACTCATTATGGTGAGCATTTAGTGTGTTGTTTTGTAAAACATCCCTCTTGTGTTCACATCATCTTTTATTTACATTCCTTGAGGCAATTATTACATTCGAAAAATTAATAATTGTCAATGATTCATTTAAAAGGCAATTACTGTGATGGGAGGGAAGTGAAGGCAAAAACAAGTAAAAACATGTTTTTTTTTTCTAAAAAACACGCTGAGCCGACTGAAAATCCTACCTTAGGAATTGTAAATTTCATAACTGGTGGAAAGAAGATTAAACAAAAGAAAATAATTATCAATATCTTATTGACTTGTTTTCATTAAAATAGAAGAAAAAAAAAAAAAAGAAGTTAGCTTTCATTACGTTTTTGGTATACCAAATACTGAATTATCTCCCTTAGATCGCTTTACCTCGCTTCATATTTTAAAATCACTCTTTAGAAAGAGAAACTTTTAGAATTCTTAAATCAACGAAGATATCTGTAAAATAGTTGTTATTTATATGAATGAAATAAATTTATATTACATTCTGAACGCTAATCTTTTGTTTTTATGCAAGACATTTTTTTTGTTTCACTTTTCTGTTTTAAGATTCAAAGAATGTAGTTCCGACCATTTCTTTTTTAAATTATTTATTTTCAATTTTACAAATTTTTGGCCAATAAAATTGAATAGATTTTTACATCATACACACACACTCACATGGAAGTGGGAGGAATTTGTGCTTAAAGAGTTAGCTGTTGGTTTTACAGTTTTTTTTTGTATGTCAAAAAAATGTTTCGGGCGCTAGAACATGTTCCACGAAAAATAAAATAAGTTACATAAAGATGAAAAAAAAAAAAAAAAAAAAACCCAAAAAAACTCCATTTTCAATTTAATTTAAAAAAAAAAGTGTCAAAAACTTATTTGTCGTGGTTAATTGTAATTTAATAAAGAACATCAACGACAAATATTTTTTTTATTTATAAATAAGAAAAAAATGATCTTCCTGCACGCATCTTTTTTTTTCTTGGTAAACTGAATATTTTTCATTGCAATCATCGTCGATTTAAAATTAAAACAATATTTATTCATTTATTTATTTCTCTTGAGGAGAGAGAGAAAGAAAAAAAAAGGAATCCGTGATGAATAAACAAGTTACACGTCAGTTTTAAATTTATTTGGTGATATATTTCCAGATTTATAAAATAAAGGAAAAAAATAAAAATATAAAAACTGTCATTGATTTTATTTGAATTTGAGAAATAAAATAATTTAATATTAATAAAATATTAATATTAATTAATTTAATATTAATAAAATATTAATGTTAAAAATAATAAGCTTGAATGCCGACCTACCACTCAATAAAAAAAGAATCTTTTAAAAAAGAAATTGATGCCGTTTTGGGGATTTCAAGTCTTCGTGATGTAATTTTTTTTTTTTTTAAATATAAGTAATTTTTCTTTTTAAATCAATAACCAAATTAAAACAATTATTTCATTTTTTTATGGAAACAAATAAACATTTTTTTAATTTATTTTTCGTGTAGAGGAAATCTTCCATTTTAGCGTCCGAAATATTTTTGTCATACAAAAAAAAAAAAAAAAAAAAATTTATATATATTGAAAACTAAAAGTAAATTTTAACTAGACTCATATTCTAATCACTCGAGTTTTTAGTCGCACAGAGCAGAACTCCTGAAGAGAGTTCGATCCTTGGCGAGTGCTATAGTCTTCCCGTACCTTTTTTAAAGCTAAAACTTAGTAAATGCTGACATGGGCCAAGGGAAAATAAAAATAATTAAATAATGTGTAATAGAATAAATACGATCTAAATTTTATTTTTACGCAAAAAAAGTCGTTCTAAGACTGACGTGGGGAAAAAAGTTTGCTAAAAAGTTTTAGATAGTAATTAGCGCATTATTTTAAAAACAATATATTATTATAAAAAAAATATTTTTAAAAACAAATATTAACATAAAAATTCAAGTTAAAAAAGTAATTAGAAAAAAAAAAAAAAAACGGACTCAATTTCAGAAAAAAAACAAAAAAAAAAAACAAATCCCCAACCCTGAAATGTTTACATTTTTTAAAATTAATTCTACATCTTAAATAATTCTTGTATTGCATAATCAATTAAAATTTTTTAAAAATTCATAACATATTGAAATTCTATTTTAAAAGATTTGATTTCTCATTATTTCCTTCGAAACAATAATAATAAATAATAAAAAAAACGGAACCATTTATCAACTAAAAATTGAAAATTTACACAATAAATATTTAAAAAAAAAAGACATATAATTAAAAAAAAAAAAAAAAATTGTTACCTGTACATGCGTAGATCTGCTTCGGTAATTTTTCTTACGTGACACCTGTATCCAGGTGTGATAAATAACAAAATAAAGACAGCTGAAAAGTAATAAACATATCGCCTTTTTTGCGAACAACTTTCGGTCATCCTCCGACGGCAAAATGTGTTGAACATTTTTGCCAATTAGTTTCTCCCGTGCTACATGAGTACCAATATTTCACAGTAAGGGCATGAGATGAACAAGAGCTTTAAGTTCTTAACCCTAGGTTAAAACTGATTGTAGTGTAAAAATTGAATCTTTTTGGTGGTCTAATTTTTTTTAGTGTAAAACTATTTTAAATGAAAAATAAAAAATCACTTATACATATAACAAAATTTATTTACACTTTTTTTTGTCGTTTAAATTTCAATTGGCTGCTCTATCACTGATTATTTTGAAACTAGCTAAAATAAATGTGGAATGCGATTTTCTTCTATAAAAAATTGTTTATCGAAAATTAAGTGTATATCAGTTTTTTCACATCTATCTATTTATCTATCTATCTATCTATTTCAATCTGTTCATCATATCTATCTATCTATCTATCTTGTTATCCAAAATAGGTTTGTTTCACCCTAACTGAAACAAAATTTTCCAGGAACACTGTACCACACTAATTGTCAGTACATGTTTGTACTTGTAAAATATGCATTCTTTTATGATACTGTTTCCCTCTGCTTGCTGATATCTATCTATCTATCTATCTATCTATCTATCTATCTATCTATCTATCTATCTATCTGTTTTAGTCTGTTCATATCTATTTCAGTCTGTCCATATCTATCTATCTATCTATCTATCTATCTATCTATCTATCTATCTATCTATCTATCTATCTATCTCAGTTTGTTCATATTTATCTGTAGCATTACAAAAGTAATTATCAGCTCTTGACTCTACTATAATTTATGCAGCATGTCAAAGGGCAATAAGTGCATCATGTAACAGTTTGGCAAAAGGCATTAAATGTAAGTAGTTGGAGCCAATTCATCAGAATAATAGCATGCATACTCCAGTCTTCCATTTTCAGTCACATGATATGGCTGAGAAAAAATGATAGTTAAAAATTGAGTAATATTCTCCAGAAATGGTGTCCTAAAAACATTAGTATCAGATGATGCCCCATAATTTTGCAGGACGGTGTTCTTGGTTCAGAAAAATTTGCTGTATTACATATATAATCCATATTATCCACAATCAAATGTAATTTCAGAGTGAATGGTACAGGCCATGAAAATAATGATTGAAAGCATTTCTCCTTACTGGGATAATATTAACAGTTTTCTACAAAGACTATTGCTTAATCATTGAACTATGTCATATGCTGTCAGATTACAAAGCCCATCTACATTAATGGGAAGACTGATTAAGGCCATGTTAACAATGCCCTATTCCACAAATGAGAAAATATGGTGCAGGAAAAATAGTGATTCAGCCTATGATGTTTTTTATCCTGTTTGAGACAGTTTCTGATATATTGTCAACATATGGCTTTAAGGCTTGGCGATTCTGAATATACATCTAATTTTAGAGATGGTGAAATTTTGGTTTTATTGTTATTATTTGTTTATTCTTTTTTTTTATTGCTGCAATTCACCAGGGCTATAGATGGCTTTGAATTCCTTCTCCTAGACTCATTTGCCACCCAAACCTGAAGAGCCCAGGGTGCCCTACTATTTAAGCCATAGCTGAGAGGATTCAGACCTTTCCCAAAGGCATTTGTGTGAAAGGGAATGTGATCCAAGGTGGAAATTGGTTGGAGAAAAGAAACAAATTAGACAAAAGTTTGGAGAAATGACCAAAGATTTATTTTCATTTACAAGATATAAAAATGTCTCTGGTAAGTTGTATAGGGTAGCGTTTGAATGTATGGTGTACTAGGTGTGAAATGAGAGTGTGAAAAAGGAATATACTTAACCCGTTTGACTGCTTGTTGGCTATCAGTTTGGGCTTGTCATGTCAATAGTGGAATCTCTTTGCTTTCTGTGTTCACAGGAGGCCATTTTTACAGCCTGATAGTTGGACGGGCAGTCAGCTGTGTATTCGGGTAGCCTCTATGGTTGGTGTGCATTCATAAAGTCTCTCTCTCTGCTCTCTGTCTGCTGTCCGGCTTCACTTATAGTCTATATAAGGGAAACACATGAAAGTAAGATATCTGAAGAAATCTGTGAGTGTTTTAACTCTTAGCAAGCAAGAGTTGTGTCAATAATGGCCAGCACTTTGGTATATTTGTGTTTGTTTTAAAATTAGTTTTGAGTAGAGTGTGGCGTGTGTGTAACTTAGCTAGACAAAAATTGGTGTGTAGTTAGATATATATGTTTTCTAATAACTATATAAATTTAACTTTAATTTATTATCTCTAACTATGTGTAAATTGTGTTTTTTTGCTACAACTGTAGTGAAACACAACTGGAATGCAAACTTGTCTCTCTGATTCCTTGTTCTGAGGTGCTATCCATTACATCACTTGAACATTCTAAAAAGGAAATAAAAGTTATTTATCTTTTTGGTGAATAACCAAAAATTCTTTTACAAGTTCACATTCTAGCCCCTTTTCTAATCCTTATCCCAACATTTTTCCCTTGATTTCAAATCTGGTTCCCAAAGCCTTGTTCTTTGTCAGAGATAAGGATATATTTTCTGATGAATGAGAGAGCTGGAAAATATAAAAAGGAGTTATTTATCCTGTCCATGGTGCCATGAAGTCTGAGGGAGGTGTTTGCAGCTTGTTGGACACTTGCCGGCTCCTAAAGCCTTGTCTTGTTCCTTATCAGAGATAAGGATATATTTTCTAATGAATAAAAGGGCTAGGAAATTTGTATAGCAATTTTGGAGGGAAAGGTCTCCTAATCTCCATATATATGGAAAATCTTTGCCTATTTGGTGGTGAGAATTCAAAAACCATCTGTGATAACATCAGGTCGGCGATAGAACATCAGTCATCTTTGGAGTCAGCTTCAAGAAAGAATTACCCACTGGGCTGTAAGGACAGAACGTTGACCCACTACTAAAAACCAATTGATATCTGTCTCCTTGCAGCTAGAAGATTTCTGTCACCAGCCTACAAACTCACTCAACTACAAAATTTGTATCTTCCGACAGTTTCCTCCTATACAAGAACTCTGAAGAAATCTGTGAGTGTTTTAACTCTTCAAAAATCTACTCACTTAAAGAACTTTTTAGGTGCTCAGAGAAATATTTTGAGCAAGCCTTTTTTTTATGGACATTTTTTCTTCCTTTAAAGTTAATGAAATTTTCTTCTCCCTTTTTTTCCTCTCATAATTGTATATCCTTTTACCCTTTTTTGTGTATGTAAATAAACATTTTCTTCTTTTATTGTTACACACTGAGCAGGAGTTTGAGTCTTTATTCTTCTGTTTAAAAAGAGAGAATTGTCCTATCTAATCTTTCAAGCTGTTGTTGCTTTTTTTTCTCAATTTTTTGCATTTTTAACCTCAACCCTTTCATGTGGAAAGCCAGGACAAATTTCCCATATTTTGCTCAAAATAGAGAATTGCTCGCTTTAATCTTTCAAGCTATTGTTGCTTTTTGTTTTGTTTTTTTAGTTTTGTTGCATTTTTAACCTCAACCCTTTCAGGTGGAAAAGCTGGGACAAATTCCCCACATCCTCTTTCCTTTGACACATCTCATATATAAATTTTTTTTGTAGACATAGTTGTAAAAACATGATTCAGTAATTGCTTTTAAATATAATTTTAATTTCTGAGTGTATTTGGCTACTGCAGAGGTGAACAAAAGCTTGGAGATTTGAGTTAAAGTGAGATAACTGAGACATTTGGAAGAGGCATGGCATGCAGAACTAGAACAATCTTCCCTGGTGGATGGAATAGAGGGTTCAGGTTGAAATGCCAATCACCTGAAGGAAGAAAAAAATGTTCATAAAAAAAAGGCTTACTCAAAATATTTATCTGAGCACCTAAAAAGTTCTTTAAGCGAGTAGATTTTTGAAGGGTTAAAACACTCACAGATTTCTTCAGAGTTCTTGTATAGGAAGAAGGCTGGAGCATATAATGGCCAAAATATTTTGAATATGGCAAAAAAAATGAGGACAATGTAAATAGTTGAAAGGTGTTCAAATTTAAGTAACTTAATTATTGTAGATGCTAGAAAGATGAAAGTTTGAAACATAAAAATTATATATGCATTTTTGGTGTAAATATTAGCATTTTATACAAGTTATAAATTGGCAAAATTCTACTTTAGTTTAAAGTTGGCCAACTTATAAAATAATGTATTTATTATAATTTATGAGCATCAAATTTGATTTATCAAATTTTAATTTATATAGATTTTCATAATTATTTGTGATGTAATCTAATAATCAGTACAATACTACATGTGATCCTCAACATGCAACAGAGTTCCATTCCTATGATGCATTGTAACATGATTTTTACATGTAAGCCATAATTTTGCATGAATAAACTTATGTCACTCACCAAAGACAAAACACATTTCTATGACATTATCACTAGAGAAACACATGGAGGACATAAATATAATAAATAATGAAATGAAAATAATACATATAATAAAATGAAATTGTTTTAAGCTGCTTACATATTTATTGCCAGTGATATCATTGGCTCTCAGTAGATGAGATGATGAAGCATAAGACCTTCTTTCTTGCAAATCTGGAATAAAACTCATGTTTGTTTTTCTTTTTTCAAATGACTTAAGCTAAGCAACCAGCCAATGCTTGTCGCTGTTTCTCCTTTTCAGAGAGTTCAACAATATCTAATTTCACTTCCATGATAATGGCTTTCCTTTTCTTCAAAGCACCATCATCAGAAGAGGTTACACTATGTTTGAGAGCCACAATAAAGAGCAATAAGTTTCCACAAACACAAAACAAATGAAAGAGACTGAATGCACAACAGTACAGTATGAAGTACAACCAAGAATTGACCCATGCCATCTTATGTATGAGGCAAATGGCATAAATTGAAACACGATTAATGAAGATTGCTTTGTAACCATGAATTGTCATTTTGTAACCCAGGTACTTACTGTATTGATAAATTAACAGAAAAAAAAAGAGAAGGAAAAAGAAAGAAAGAATCTGAAGACGGTTTTTTAAAATCTTTTCTTGTACTTCTTCTCGTTTTTCTAAAATTACTTTTTAATTTGAATTATTTCTACCTTTTAAATCTTATTACCATTGTTCAAGAATTATTTTTTAAAGATTTTAACAATATTTATATAATAATTGCTAATATTTATAATAACATCTTACACTATAAACAACAAATTTTTTATGTTAAAATATTTTAAATTATTGAAATATAGTTATCAAAATATTTTATTATATTTAATATATATTTATATATTTTTAAAGAAATTTTTAAAATGTAGATTCTCGTGGAATCCCGCAAAGAGAATGAAAGTATGCTACTGTAGTTTAGCTGTATCGCGAGATTACAATCTTGAAACGAGATCTCGCCCTTTCCGGTTTGGACGCCATAATTAACAGACAAGTAAGTGAATTCTCTTTTTAAAAATCCATGAAATTTGTCAACTTTAAAGTTGCATCCGTTCCAAATAATACGTTACAAAGTAAGTTAAGAGTTTGTTTCAATATTTTATGTTAATTTTTGTTTTAAAAAAATGAGCATAAGGTCGGTGTTTTTCTATGATTGATTGCACCTGCTTTTTTTTCTTACTCGAGAAAGCATGCTTATTTTATATTTACTCATAACTTTCTGACTCGTAATACGTTTTATTTGTGATGGTCTTCGTTTCCAAACCTGTAAAGTAATTCATTATTTATGCTTCCGATTTTTCTTCCTTTTTACAATGATTAAATTAAGACCCATTACGTTTAACATTGCACGTGTGCTTCGAAATCCTAGAACATTATAACTTTTTTTTCCCTCGTGTTCTGTTTAAGCAGTTTTCTCACTAGAATTTTAAATTTTCTTCATGTTTATTTATCTCAAATCTACAATGATTGCATTGGACACTGTTAAGTTAATTGCCCGCTCTTGAAATTTGAACGTCTTCCGCTATTTTTTTAAACTTCTACTCAGTACTCTGAAATTGTTACCATCTTATTTTCATGGTTTGTTTGAAAAATTATTCTTGCTGTACTGAACGTAATTCCATTTTAGATATTGTTTATTGGGTATATTCAAATGTAAAACCTTAAATTGATTGCATATAATCAGTTTTAACGTTTCAATTATTTCACTCATTTTTTTTTTTTGTAAGCAAAAAAATAAAAATATATATAAATTCAACATCTGTGAAGAATATCTCAGAATTTGTAAAATAAAGCATAAAAGTTCGGTCCTACAAAAATAAAGCAGGTAAATATATTTGCTATAAAAAAATCGCTCGAAACGTTTTAAAATCAACTAATGATTGCATGTGGTTTTCTTAGGATTAATTTCCTAGTCACTTCCTTCATCAACCTTCGTAGAAGGTCGGAGTACCTGCTGCCGAAACTTAAAAAAATCAGAATTAATCTAAAGAAAAATATGCTGATAATTCAGACAACTTCTAAACAAGTTTTCTAACTTTGGGGGGTGGGGGTTGGTAAATTGGTACATAGAATTTTATATTGTTGATAAAATTACCCGAGAAATCATCACATGGGCTACGAAAGCTTTGCTTTTAGTTTTCGCTTTCATTGATTACTTTTAAATAATTATTAAAACATGTTTTAATGAGTAAACTATGGGCCTGGTAAATAAATATTTATTTTAGACTGGTTATAAACTTCTAGGTCTAATTCCCCCTATAACCCATTTACGCCATGTGGTCATTCGCCTTGGTTTTTAGAACAGCAAACTATTTTGAAACTGTTCCAACTTTGCTTGTTGCCGCAATATTGTATCTGGCAGATTAAGTTATTATTTGTAAGTATTCTAGATATTTAATTTTGCGTTTCATATGATTTCTGCATACAAGAAAGTGACTTAGTCTTGGATTTGAAACCATTATACTCCCATTCAATTACATACTTTTTTTTTTTTTTTTTGTTAATGTTTACTGATGGTTTCCTCACTGGGCACTCCATTCAAAAATCCGACATTAAATAATTTCTATAGAAACAAAGTGAACATCATTTTAAGGTAACTGGTCGAACATTAGCCAAGCATTTAATATTTACTTTGTATAATTCATACTTTTTACAGTGGATATTTACCAGCAAAAAAACAACTTTGCTCCAAAAAATCTGTTTGCTGACATGCATATTTTTATTTTTGAATGTTGATTCCCCCCGCCCCCGATCCTTCTCTGTTGTTCATCCTTATTTCTCGAACTTTTCCTATTTACCGGTGTTTTATTTTTTATTTTTTATTTTCACAAAATTGATAATTTGCAACATTTGGTAACTGAAAATTGTTGCAAAAGCCCTACCCTCATCCCTGATTATTAGCTGTCATAACAATCAAAATTTGAAATCTGCTGATTTCATTTCCCATGTCATACTACCTGGGTATCTAAAAATTGAAGCTTTAGAAGAGCACACAGTTGTTGTTGTTGTTGTTGTTTGAATAATGAATTAAAACAATAAATGGAAATTAAAACTATTTGTAAGAAATGGTTACAAAAAACAAAAACCTTTTCCCTTTTAAGAGGAAAATTTATTAACATTTAAATATTTGAAACTTTTGTATTTATAATGTTTATAAAGTTAATTAATTTGTGTCATTACTTGAAACATTCTCAATTTATCTTTATCAGTATGTTGATGCCTAAAAAGAATCGTGTGGCTATTTATGAACACCTCTTCAAAGAGGGTGTCATGGTTGCCAAAAAAGACTTTACTGGGGTAAAGCATCCAGAAATTGATGTCCCAAACCTCCATGTAATCAAAGCACTTCAGGTCAGTAATAATTTGAAATATTTTTCTTGTAACAAACTCTGCAAAAATTTAAAACATTTTTTCACTTTTAAACTAATAAAAATAAATGAGAAGTAATTTTCTCCTTAAATTAACTTTAATTTCTCTGTCTTCTTACTTAATTTATCATCTTGCACTTGTGAAAAAACATTTTAAATTGAACAGCTTAAACTTCTGTCTGTCTTTATTAGAACATTCTAACTTTCAATTAAAAAAAAAAAAAAAAACCTTGTTTCTCGTCATCACCGGAAATCTGGTAAATAACATGGCAAATTTTTTGTGCATTTTTTTCTTATGACACATTAATTTTGAAAATCTTGCAAAAATAAAAATAATTATCAGATTTTAATGAAACTTTCAGAAACTATTCAGGAATGATGGAAATTATTATAAATGTTTTTTTTGTTTTTTAAGTCATTATAAAAATATATTTTTTATATATACATCCCCCCCCAATAAATAAATTAATGAAAACTCTAAAAATTTATGGTCGAAGCACGCAATATTATATTAGTTAAAAACACAAGGCTTTGAGGAAAGTAAATCATGTTCTTTAAAAAGTCTGCCCTCATAAACCTAAAATCAGCTCTGAACATACAAAACCCAATAAAACAAAGATACTATTTAATTTTAAATGCTTTCAGTTGCTTTTATCAATATGCATAATATTGTCTGAAGGCAAAAAACTTTTTCGATGAAAAATGAATTTTTATTTTTACATAAAGTTACTAAAAGTTGTTAATTATTGTAAAATTAGTGGTACTGTTCAATTCTTTATATAATGTCTTTTTTTTTTTTTTTTTTTTTTTTAAGTACCTGTCACAGCTGTTTAAAACCCTTGTTTTTGTCATATAGGAAAATCCAACATGGTGCGTAAACAAAATATTCGGCAAAAAATCTCATTCGTCAGTAACATTTTAAACACCTCATAGAATGTAAAGTTCTTAAAGAAAACCTATGCCAAATTGTTTTCCTGAATCCTTGATGACTTGGCTGTCCAAAAATGGTAATATCAAGATGAAATAATGGAAACTGACCGTGAAAAATACAATTATGCGCAACAGGTTTTCGATCAATTAGTAAACTTCTGGACCTTTTAGGGCGACCTTATAGGATCCAGACGGCTATTTTTTGCACATGGAATTATTCACTGGTAATTAATCTTCGATTTGGCTGTGGAAAATGTCACTCGGCGGTTAGCATTAAGAAATTATGCCCAATTTTCTGAGAAAAATCCCCCCTTTTTTATGAAAAAATATTTATTTTCGCTTCAAAATTAATATCCTTCTCTTTCATTTGGCATTAACATCATTGAATAAAAAGAAAGGCTAAATGGACCGGCGATGGGAAATACGAAAGATATGCGGCGAAAAAAAACAATGTCGGCTGCTAAGTGTTGTTGTCATCACCCGGTTCACGGGGTGTTAAAAACAAAACAAAACTCATCAAGCCATTGTTCAAACATAGGTTATATGAAGCCCTAGTAATTGTGAACCCTTTTTTTTTTTTTTTTTTTTTTTTTCACTCTTTGTCTTTATCTGGGAGTGGTGGGTTTTATTACAACTTGTTCTAAGGTTTGCCGTCCATTTATTGCTGGCTGGCTGGCCTTTGACCTAGACGTCAAAGTCAATTAGGTTTATTTTCCCTTATCGCTATTTTTAGGGGAAAAAAAACTTTTGGTTTCTGGTGGTTAGGAATTGCAGATAAATCTCTTGCCTTTTACTAAAGATTTCCGTGGCCAGGTGTCAATTTTTTTTTACCCTTGGCAGTCATATAATTGAAAATTAACAATGGATTTTGTCGCATTTTGAACCCCTAGGAATGTTGATTTCCTTCAAAACTCTCAATTTTATGCCTGAAATAGTTCGATTATGATTTAGGCTTTCTGATTTTCAAAAAAAAAAAAAAAGAGAGAATGGTTAATTTCCCATTAATGGGGGAAATATTTGTTTAGAACAAGAAAAAAATGCAAAATTTTCACTATTTTTTTTCACATTTTACCCACTGAAAAAAATTGAGTCATTTACACCAGCTAATTTTACTTTTAAATGAAAGAATATATCTTTTGCTTTCAGAAAATACCTAGTTTCATGGGGGTTCAGATCAAAAGTTTCCTTGATATTAGTTTAGGTGATGATAAAACAGTTATTTTTCAATATTTTACCCCTAAAAAAGTATCAAAACCCATATTTTGAGAGAAAATAAGCTGTGACAAAATGACTTTTGCTATTTTTGTGATGATTTTCACTTAGGAAAGAAAATTTTTACCATAGGAAACCTGAATTGACTTTAAGTTCAGTGGGTCTGTAGGAAACCTCAAACAGCTGTGCTGTATCTGTACAGATTATAAATAGCACAAGATTTTTACAATCAACGAAAGACCAAACATGAGATGTAAGGACTTATTTCTAATATATATATATATATATATATATATATATATAATGATAAAACATTGTGCATATCGTCACCATTGAAATTGATTTCAGTTTTATTTATTTGTAAGCACATAAAGGTTCTGCTGTGTCAAGCATCTCTAACCAAAAGGGACAACTGAATACCAAGAAAACTCAGCACCGGAGAAACATAACTTTTTTTTTTTCTTTTATAACCTGATAAAAGTAATTTATCAAGGATTAAAACATTAATTAGTGAATATTTATCAAGGATTAAAACATTAATTAGTGAATATTTATCAAGGATTAAAACATTAATTAGTGAATATTTATCAAGGATTAAAACATTAATTAGTGAATATTTATCAAGGATTAAAACATTAATTAGTGAATATTTATCAAGGATTAAAACATTAATTAGTGAATATTTATCAAGGATTAAAACATTAATTAGTGAATATTTTTCTACAAATAAGGCATTATGTAAAATATGAGCCAGTTTTTTTTTGTTTTCAATTATTTTTAATTAGGTACGCCCACTGAATTTTAGGTTTAAAATGAAAAACCATTCTTGAAGATTTCATCTTAGTTTTGATAGAAAGCAAAATGATTAAATTTACTATTTCCAGTAAGTAAAATATTCTAGTGTATTTCAAATAGATCAGAAACTTTACTTTGTTGCCGATTTCTGAAAATTTAAAAGTGGCCATTTCTTAATTTTAAGAAATTTGCAAACAAAACAAAATTATTGGGTTTAAAAATCTTCCAAAAATATATTTGACACACATTGCGTAAAATTAGGTACCTCTATTATTTCGCGAAAATCTAATATAGCATGACAAGAACGGTCTGAAAATTAACGAAAAAATTTTTTTCATGATAAAAGTATATTTCATTATTGAGAAGAAACACTAAAGTATTTTTGAGTAATTTTTGAAATTTTTACTCATTCTTAGCATGTCCGAAATTTTAGTTAAAAAAACTTGTTTACAGAAAAAACGAAAAAAAGCTCTATATCAGCCATATTTTTAAAAATTTTAAAAATAAGTTAAATTCTTCGTTTAAAATTCGTTTAAAAAATTAATTATAATGTATTTCAATATTTATTCAAGAAATTTAGAAAATTTAAAGTTTATTTAAAATATTTTGAAAGAAACTTTTACTTACTTTCTTCGTAGAAAAATGTTTTTTAAAGATAAAAGAGCCGATCTTCACGTTGCCGTTGATTGACAGAGTGCCAAGTGATGACATCTATAAATTATTGACAGCTGACGTGAGATTCGAGTTCCCATACGGAAGCACAGAATGGACATATTATTTTTTTTTAGCGGACCTACTTAAGTAGTAACTTGTAATATTTAAAGTAAAAAAACTTTCGCCATTACAATTTTTTTTTTTTTTTAACTACTATGTACCATAGATTTGTTGATACTCTCTGGAGAAATTATAAATACTATTAAAAAAATTAAAATACAAGTGCTGCACTGCTGTTTGAGGGCCCATATAGACCCCTCTAAAGTCAATTCAGATTTGCTATTATAAAAAAATTCTATCCCCAGTAAAAATAATCAAACATAGTAAAAGTCATTTTGTCACAGCCTATATTCTCGAAAAAAATAAATAAATGGATTCTTATATTTTTATGTAATAAAAAATTACTTATCTGGAAAAATACCAGGTAATGTTTATCTGAATCCCATGAAACTAGGTATTTTCTGAAAGCAAACAATATGTTTCATTTAAAAGTAAAATTGGCCAGTGTAAATGACTGAAAAGTTTTTTTTTTTCTAGAGGCAAAATGTGAATCTTACTTATTATAAAACCCAGGTTGTGTGTGTTACGTTTATTGATCGAATTTCCTACATTTTTCAACCAATTTCAACCAAACATTACAGGACTACGATGAAAACTAGATGAAAGTACCTATTTTAACTTAATGAAAATGATGCACACGTGTTTCAGCAGGAACAGTTTGCTAAATTAAGGGGCCGTATACAGCGAAGAACAACCCTTACTAGACAGAAACTCAATCCACGTGACGTTATTTTTATTGCACGCACCAAACTTCCGGTCTTCCGTAGATTTCATTGGTAAACACATTATTGACAAATTAATTTTTTTTATATACGAAGACTCATTAGTTTGTAATAAGCTTTGGAAATTATAATCTGTAAATATATATCTACTTAAAAACAACATCCGTTAAGCTGTACGCGCTTTTCCATAATTTTAGAAGAATTAACAACATAATGTAAAAATAAAAACAATGGTTGCGGAAATAAAAAATAATTGTAGGTAATTGTTTTAAAAATTCATTTTTCATCGAAATATCTTTTTGCTTTCAGACAATATTGTCCATGTTTATTGGAATAAATAAAAGCAATTAAAAGCTTTTGAAATTAAATAATATTTTTGTTTTATTGAGTTTTTGTATGTTACACTTCAGAGACGATTTTCAGGTAGAAGGGCTCCAACTAAAAAAAAACAAAAACATGATTTTGTTTCCTCAAAGCATTGTGCTTTTAACTGATATAATCACTAAACTCCTCGGAATTGAAATTATAGTTTTCGTACAATTAGTTAGAGGGGTAAATACATATAAAAAAAAAAAAAAATTCTCCAGATGACTTTACTAAAAAAAAATGGATTTATAATAAGTTCCATCATTTGTAAATAGTTTCTGAAAATTTCATTAAAATCCGACAATTATTTTCATTTTTGCAAGATTTTCCAAATTAATGTGTGTCAAACGGGGAAAAAAACGCCCAAATGTTTAACGTTAATTTATCAGCCAAGCTGATAAAAAAGAGAAACAAGGTCTTTTAATCAAAATTTACAATGTTCTAAAAAAGAAGGAAAAATTTAAAAAATAAGTAAAAAATACTTTGATCTTTCCTCTAAAAAGTAACATAAGCATTTAGACGCGAAAATTTTGTTTTCATCAACTTTGGCGTCTTTTTAATCATGCTATGCTCTTTTTTTAGCGATCCAACAGAGATACCTACGTAAAATTAATAAATTGGCAATAGTGTCCTTAATAAATCTTATCAAAGCGAGTAAAAGCTATTCTAATTAAATGTCTAGTTTTATTGCATTTTTTATTTTACAATTCAGAGCAGATTTTCAGTGAAAGGGGTAACTTACAAAAAAAAAAAAAAAATTAAGTAAATCATAATGTGTAAATCAATTAACGTAAATCAACATCCTAAAATATTTTTTTATTTAAAAATTGTTTAAATCAAACTTGAAAGAAAGCTTTTTCATTTATGGAAATTCATTTTAAACCTTGGCTATTCTGAATTAGTGGAGGTACCGAGTATCTTGTAATTTCAGTAATCTCTTGTTGAAATTTCATGAAAAGGTTTTCAGACATCTTGCAAAATATTTTCAGCATTACTCATATTGTCATGATTTTGTGTTGTAGAGATTTTAAGCTGTTGATAAAATGTTTATATACAGTTATATGGATTTTAATCCAATTTCGCATTGACTACTCCTGTTATTTTCATTGATAGTCATTTTGTTTTGATGCAAACATTTTAAATCTTTAAAAACAGTAATCTTAAATGAGAAATAACTTCGTTTTGGATGTAATTACAAAGTCGAATTTAATGCCTATTTTCTGGTGAAGTTACTGAATATTGCAATGATGAAAAGCGCAGGGGTCCTGAATGCAACCAATAATGTGGGTTGTTGGATCTTGGATATTTTAGTGATTGCAAGTGGCAGCCACTTCTATCCAAGATTTGGATTCTGCTGATTCTGAGCCTCAGAAATTTTTTTTTTTTTTTTTTTTTTTTTTGTCTTAAACCAGTAACTTTTGAATTTATAGACTAATCAAGCTACAAACTACTTGAATCATCTTTAGTCTTATCTTTCAGTGATTAGAAAATAAAACCTAATTTATATATTTGCTTAGTATGTTGTAGAATTTCTTACTAAAGCAGAAATGAATTTCTTTATCAAAATTTCTCCAGTTTTGTTACTTTAAAGCATTAAATATGTTGGATGAAATTGTCATTTTAAGGATGCTTTAATAAGGGTAAACTCCTTAATCTATTTTCACAATGACTTGTAGAAACACAACAAAACGTGCAAAGTTGAATTTTGGCATTGATTCAAATATTTGCATTCAACTGTAATATTTGCCCCCCTCTCTACATTTTTTTTATTTTTATTTATTTATTTATTTATTTATTTATTTTTTTTTTTTTAAATTACATTTTTATGCCTGGTTTTTGTTTTGCTAGTTGCAACTTAAATGACAATTTTATGATTTCTTTTTGCTTGTAAAATCTGTTTATTTTGTTCAAATATTTCTTTTGGCATTGATATAAATTTTGTTTGTATTTTCAGAGTTTGAAATCTCGTGCTTTTGTGAATGAACAGTTTGCCTGGAGGCACTATTATTGGTATCTCACCAATGAGGGCATCCAGTACTTGCGTGATTTCCTCCACCTTCCTTCAGAAATTGTTCCTGCCACTCTCAAAAGGCAGACTCGGACAGAGGCTACTCGTGGGCCAAGGCCAAAGGGTGTGTATTGTTTATGCATTCAGTTAATAAGGATTTGTTGTTGCTTGTGCACACATCTGCTAAATTTAGGGCCTGTGGACTGAGGCAATTTAAGTTCAAAAAGAAAAAAAAACTTGAGATATGGAACTGAATCATTAATTTTTAACATGTTAGACTGAATTAAACTTTTTTTTTTTTTTTTTGGTGTTGGAGGGTGACAAAAAGAATGAAGACTATTAGATTTATTTACAAATTGATAAAAATGTGAACCAACTACAATGCAATATTTATCAGTATATTGTAAAAAAATAATTATGAAAATAGTCATAAATGGGTCATTCCATGTTAAAACACCAGCAAAAAGTTGAAATCTGCACCCACCGACACCGAATTACTTGAAATTTGGCACAAATGTTCCCCCCTCCCCCATGAGTTAGGAAAGTGTGCCAAATTATTTTGTGCTAGATTAAAACAAAATCAAATATTTTGTTTCATGAAAATACTTTTGAAAAAATTATTTAAAAAATAAGAATTTAAAAAAGTAATGAAAGCATTTCCTTCAACTATATAAATGTTAAGTGCGAACTACAAATATTATGTTTTAATAATTCACATTTATCTTAACAACTTTTTGAGAATGAAAAAATCAAATGTTTTTTGTTTCATGAAAATAATTTACCAAAATAAAATTAAAAGAAACACAAACAGAATTTCTTTTAACTTCATTTGTTAAGTGCCATTTACAAATTTTCTATGCACTGTTGAATATCATACATGAGGCAATATTTACCGCTTTTTAAGCACGATCTATCTGTACAAAAAGTAATATTTGCAAAATATACTTTTTTTTTTTTTTTTTTTTTTTTTTTTTTTTTAAATCAATAAAAAAAATCTTATTGAATAGTTTAAGAAGTTACTCAGCACAATATCAACATTTTAGAGGTCATGGAGCATTAGGATGATTGTCTTTAATTATAATCTTTCTCAAAAATCCTGCCCATACATAGGAAAAAAAAACACTCTAAATTTGGCAGGGTCATATCTTCTAAAGTAGACTTAAAACCCTCACAAAATGTTTTGGTGAACTTGAGCGGGCAGTGTAGGTAAAAAATATGAAAATTGAAGAGAGCGTATTTTCGATAGACTGACTGTAAGCTACATAGGTGAAAAGTTGTATTTGGGTGAGTAAAATAAACTTTTCTATCAAGTGTTGGCTTGAAATAGTTAAATATTTAGTTTCTACACTTTTTGCCCTACATACCAAATTTTTAGAAATATTGAATGAATGGAAGTATATTTTTTTTTTTTTTTTTTTTTTAATTTTTAAAAACATTTGGCAACGTTGCGCAGCCTTAATTTAGAGGCAAAATAGGAAAATTATACACCCCCTGCTTAAAATTGGAATGGTAAAGTCTAGCACAAAATAATTTGGCACCCTTTCCTAATTCATGAAGGGGGACATTTGTGCCAAATTCCAAGTAATTTGGTGTCGGTGAGTGTAATGCCCTGGTAAATTGACATTGGAATGACCCAAATTGATAAAAAAAAAATGTCTGAGTACGACAGTTAAAATAAACAACAAATGTTTTAATTATAAATGCATTTTCCTGGCATTTCTCATCTTGCAAAAGATTCACTAAAATTGTTTGAGCATCTGGATTTATCCTTTTCTTTGTTCAAGAAATAACAAAATTGCTAAACTTAGGCTGTTTAATTGCAGGCATATTGTTCAATGCATTTGTTGTCAATTTTTGAGAAAAAAAGATGCTCAAATCCATTTTTCAAAAATAGGTTTTTAAAACAATTGCCTGACATTACGCTATACTGGCATAAGTTTTTTTTTTTTTTTTTTTTTTTTTTTTTTTATGGTACGTATATTAAACTTTGCCAGAATTTATTTTTGAATAAGTGTATTGAGTTTGAAGGGAATCAATTTTTATGGAAATGAATCTAAATTTTTTTTTTTTTTTTTGTCAAACTATCTAACTATTTTGTAGTGTTTTTAAAATTTTATATTCATTTATAAAATCTCATTAAAAAAAAAATAAAAAATAAATTATGTAAGTAACCTAAGTGAATGTACTTATTACCTCATTGATTTATCCTTTCTCATTGTCCAAAACATTTTTTACAATTATTGATGGTTGGGTTATGCAGTTTTAGATAATCTTAATAAATTCTAGAGTGATCTCCTTTACTAAGACATTGTACGTTTTTTTTTTTTTTTTTTTCAGCACCAGAAGTAACACGGGGAGGACCACCCACTGATCGTGAATACAGAAGAGCACCTGCTAGTAAGTGTTTTCAAATCTTGATTTTTGCACAAAATATTAATTTATGCAATTATCTTTTAAATTAATAAATTGATGTAACGTTATTTTTATTTTATTTTTTTTTTTTTTTTTTTTTCCTGCAGTAAATTTGACAAATATTTTTTTTCTTTTCTTTCATAGACATGTCTGGAGACAAGAAGGCTGATGTTGGTGCTGGAAGCTCCACAGACTTCCAATTTGTAAGTTAAAAATAAAAAAAAATTAATGATTAATTTGAATAAATATAGGGTAAAAGTGTAGAATTGGGCTGTAATTGGGATGTGTAACAATGAAAGTTGTTTTGCTAAGACTCTAAAATGGCTCTTTGGGAGAATTTAATTACTTTGTAGAATTTGTTTCTAATAAATCAAGAAGCAGTCATCCAAAGATGTATTGAATAAGGATCTACGATCATTAGTGATGATTGGTCTACTTATAATAGGCTAAATGATCTGGGGAGTACAATCACAAAGTTATAACTTGATGAAAATAATTTTGCTGATTTACATGAATCGATGAAGAATAGTGGGCTTCGTCTAAAACCCTTTTTCTCGGAAAAAGGAACCAACAAACATCCACATGAATGAGAATAAAAAAAAAAAAAAACAACATATAAATTTTAACTTGTGAATTATATCCCCCTGATAATAGATTTTTACCAAAAATAGATTTAAATAATAAACCTGTTCATAAGGGGTTGGTGCATAATTTTACAGTACAAAGTAAAAATGTGTATGTTTGGATTTTGCTGATGTCTTTAACATGTATTTGTTTTATAAATACATCTACTTAGTATTTTTTTTAGTTTTTGTCTGTAACTAGTAAAAAAAAAAAAAATCTCTCTGCTTCCATAAAATTTCTTTACTGTTTTGCAGAAATATTCTGTAATATAAAATACCTTTTTATTCAAAAATTTTTTTATTTTTATTTTCCAGAGAGCTGGATTTGGCAGGGGCCGTGCTCCTCAACCACAGTAAAGGATACTTTATGGCTTAATAAATTACTACTGAAATTTTATTTTTTATTTTTAGTTGCTTTAATTCTATCTCACTTTTTTTTTTGTTTTTTTTTGTTTTTTTTTGTTGTTAGAATTGTAAAAATGTGGTTCAACAATTGCAATTGGTAACAAATGAAATTTTTGATTAAATTTACTTTGTCTATAATCTGGGAATGAATTTTGAGACAGTTTTATGTGCAGACTGAACAATGACCATTGAATTTTTGTAATGTGTGTTAAGCAGATTGATCAAGAAGGGAGATGAACTTATACTCTTTGGATGAACCATAATCCCAGCAAGCGCTAGTATCTAGCATTTAGATATGGAGCTAGAAGCTTGTTTAACTTTCATTCTTAGATGGTTTTTTTTTTTATTTTCTTTTCCCTTGCAACTATTTTCCATATTAGATCATGCCACGCTTTCTTTTTGTTTTATAAGTGGTACAGATGAAATGTGACTATCTGTGTGAGCATCATGCTGGGGGATGTTAAAATCAAGTAGGTACAGTGATTCCTTTTTGCACATAGGGGACAATAAACCAATGTCCCAAATATACAAAGGTGCATAAGAGTAATGAAAAATGCCTTCCCAATACTAAGCAAAGTAATAAGGAAATTTTTGTTAAAAAGTGTTGAGCTGAATATCTCATCTAGATAGCAGTGGTGGTCAAACTTGTTTAATGTAAGAGCCATGTTTGAGAGCTGCAAGACCTGAACAAAATTTACACAAGTTTTTGTTGCATACACATCTTGTTACTTAATTTTTATATAAATATTAAGTAATGCATGTATGCAGTAATATTTTTTTTTCATGTATGCAGTTTTTAAACTTAATTTGTATTGGTTTCAGTAATCACAAAGTGTGATATATAGATTTCAATCATATGTTTTCAAAATCTTGATTATTTTAACTATTGTGCGTAATTAACTTTTGGAAACTAAGAAAATTGTGCAAAATTGCATTTCAATAGCAAAAAATCCCAAAAAACACTGCATGTATTAGGTAGGAAAACTTGCTTAATGTAAGAGCCACATAATAAAATTCAGATGTTTGTGAGGTGAAACACATTAAATTTACATTTTAATATAATGGTTTCAATTCATACCCAGTAAATAATTATAAAGCTTGAAATTTTTCTTTACCTTTTTATATTAACTGTGATGACAATTTTCTCATTGTGAGAGATGTGTTGGTTCTACCAATGAATACTAAAAATATTATGGACACTGCATGTGAACAATAAGGTAGAAAATGAAAACAAAGGAAGACAGCTGAAATTTCTGAGGAAAGAGGGCTTAGAGAATACTTGGCAAGAGGAGGAGGTGGTACGAAATAGCCAGTAACCTGCATAAGCTTGTGTAAATGGATAGCAGAAAGGCAAACAGCTATGGTAAAAGGTCAAAGGTTACTCTGAGCAATAACACGGTAGGGGGGATTGTGAAGAGCCATGATCTATGTTCTGAAAGATAGATGTATTAATTTGCCATATTTCTCTGGTGTATAACAATGTGTCAAGGAGTAATTAAGTAAAAATGAATAATAGTGACTCCTTACTATTTATGAAGACATAATGTTTGAACGCTTGAAGCTTCTTGTTTTGGGACGAGAGTGGAACTTGTATACGGCCCATTGCTAAACATGCTGAAAAGGCTGGTTCTTTGTACTGTGCATGACTTCTGCCATGCTTTATCTTTACAAGAGTCAAATCAGACAGAAAATGGGGAACTGCTTGTTCTACAGCTGCCCAATCTTCACTTTCCAGCCCTACTAGTTCAAAATCGTTTACGTGGGGATGACTTATCTCCCCTACTACAGTTCTTGTATTAGAAACTGGTATCTCTAATAACCGATAAGAAAAAGAAACTTTCACCAATTAACCTGTACCTAAAACTATCACTGCTCTGAATTAACATCAAGCTATACCCAAAACAACTGCAATTCAAGACCTTTATTTGCTTGTAACCCTATAATGGCTTAGTAATCATTAAGCAAAAACCAAACCAAACCAACTTTTAGATGCAATGTTGCAAGCTTTTTATTATTTCCATGGCAAATGTTCAAATGAGCTCCATACTTTAGTTCCACTAGTTCAGACCTTTACAGCTAAAAGCCACCATGCTACGTCCAAATAGTCAAATCACCATTTTTAAAAATGCTATACTTAGCATCTTTTCAAGTATCGCTTTATTGTGGAACACTTGTGCTGGATGCTTTGAAATCTACAATCAGGGTTAATCATTATCTATTCTCCATATCTTCATAAATTTCACTTCCTACTCCCCCCACCTCTTATGTCCTTACCAATCACTTCCACCTTGAGTGACTCTTAAGCCTGGTATTTGGTGAAAATTAGTAATATACAAGGTGATTGAAAAGTAACTCCCTATTTTATGTATTTGGCCAGCCAAGATTCCTGACTTAGAACCCTGTGACTCTTCTTTGGGGTTGGTTAAAGAAGCAAGTCTAGTCTATCAAACCAAGACTTTTTCCATACCATAAAAGTTTGTGGTGAAATCAGTTGTGATTCCTGGGTTGCTCGATAAGCTGGTAGCGAAATCAAGTGTCCATATCGAATTTTAAATAAAACCTCACACTAAATGCTTTCCTCTCATATCCATTTCTTGTAAAAATTATAGTTAATAAATAAATTACGAGTATTTTAAAATGGGGAGTTACTTTTCAATCACCATGTAGATAAATTTATGAGTTTCTCATGTGTTAAGGATTGTCTCAAAAAGCTACAGCAATGATATTCGTAAACTGTATATTCTCAAACAGTATCATCTGAGCAATGTTTGTGAACATTAGCACCTGGCAACAATGATGAATTGACAAAGTTTAACTTTAGTATCCGGAAGAAGAAAAAAAAATGTCCTCTGTGGCAAAAGAAGTTATTTTTTTTCTTTCTTGATATTGCTATTACTGTATACTCTTTTGAATCTCTTGGCAATGATTTATTGTTTTAAAAGGTGTTCCAAATGTTTATTTACAACATTATAAAAACAGGTGTGCCAACTACATGGAAATATTTATTATTTACCATTTTATAAGGATTTATAATTTCCAATACTTTAAATTTTGCTCTGTTGGTGTGTCTTAGAATATACCGATTGTGGTGCAGCTGTTATAGTATATCTACTATGATATGGTATTTACCAACCGTTGGAAGTATGAAATATGTTAGGATTAGGGTTAAAGACAGTGAAGTGTTATGTATTAAAAATAAATAATTTTTTATAAAAAAAAATCAAAGTGATTTTTAATGCTTATAAACTGTTTTGATCTCATTTAAAAAAAAAAAAAATCAGTAAACAGGTCGCTGTTTTTCGTAAGCATTTTCCAACAATAATAAGTGCATCGTCGTTTACAGTAGGTCACAAATGCCGCGGTAGATTTCATACTATAGTAGCATCTTGATTGTGTCCTTTGAAGAAGTTTAAAACCCCCTCCTCAGAAAAGGGGGCCATCATTCTGGTGGAAACAAACTCAAGCATAATATTGACTAATGTTTACGTAAAAATGCAAGTATAATTAAAAAATAGATTACAATATTAAATAATACAAGGATTGATATGTTGTAAAATCCACCAACTCAAACCATACGCGATGTTGTTGATTGTGGTTGGCAATCTATAAAAAGGAAGTTAAGATGATACATACATCACTACAATTAGCTCATTATAGCAAATACTTTATGCCTATGGGGGAGGGGAATCTTATTTCCTTCTGATTCAAAATTCAACCTTTTTTTCTAATTATGCTCTTCGTGGTATGAATTCCAAAAACTGCAGTTTTTGGAATTCATCTTGTATGCCGGATACCTCTGCCTTACTTTTAAACGATTTTCAAATATCACTTCATGCACTATAGATTGAGTTTTCCATAATTTATTCAAATCTTTTGAATAAATTATGGAAAATTCAATCTAAGAGATAGAAATTAAAATTAAAAATTTGCGTCATAGTTTGGGGATAATCAAAAATCGTAATAAACGATATAAAATTTGAAATTAGGATAAGTTATGTTGGATTCCCCTATATAAACAAAGAAAATGGACACTCTATCTTTGTTCTTTCTAAAAATTATCAGAAAGATATACAAAGATTCCTAATTAACTCAGAGTAAGTGACCAACTGACCTTACATTCCTTCTTGGATTTTTTCACGGTGGTTAGAGATTTATGCAAATAATTCTAAGTTATAGAGTACTTTATCCCCGTAATAATATATTATATTTTATAATGATTTTTCTAAGTTTGACCATGTTCAGTATAAAGTTTCAGATAAAGTGATCCAAGGGAGATAATTCAGTATTTGAAAATAGTTTCGTATGTAGCATGTAGATGAGTTTATGAAACTTTGAAGAGGGATGGGGATCCGTCAGGCTATCTTGTCTTAGACACGCAACTGTTGCTATGGTTGCAGTACATGTTCCTGCGACACTTATGTATTCCAAGACTAGTGTCGTAGCAAGTTTTGCATTGCATCAAAATTATTTTCGTAAATAGCTGGCGTTTAATTTTCAACCACAGAACTGATTAACCTGAAGAATTCTAGTTTTATTTATAACTCACGAGTGGCAAAAATGTGATTTTAAAAAACTGTGCCGTATATACTCGTGTATAAGCCGACCTCATGTATTGTGTGACCCCTGAAATTTTGCATGAAATTTAATCCTCCCAGAAAAAAATTACCTGTGTATAGTGCTGTGGGGTTTAAGAATTTGTGTTGAAATGTGGAAGTCACCAAAGTAGGGGTTATCTACAGATAACGTCCTTAATACAATTATATACCAATTTATGGCCCTTTAAAAACGCATACAAAGATAATTAATACGGAAATATATATTGCATATACTGATAAAAAAAATTATATATGAAAATAAAATATACAATAATATTCGAGGAGTTGGAAGTCTTTCAGTCATTAGCATATATACATACAGATATGTGTGTGTGTGTGTGTGTGATTATGTAAGTG